AGATGTAAAAACCTCAACAGCTGGTGAGTAACAGTAACCAGGGCACTCAAATGCACCAAGTATAAATTGATACAATCACCTTCAAAAATGTTGACCGTACCTGCTAAAGGCGAATGCCTGCACAGCCCAAAACACAACAATTAACATTCCTAGGTTTATACAAACTGACATGCACCTATATGCTCATCAATAGACATGTATTAATATATTCAGAGCAATATAATCCATCCTAGATGAGAAACTAAATAAATTCCCCCTTAACGCTTAATGGATAAATACATCATGGTTATTCACACAACAGAATATTCTAGAGCAGCAAGAATTGATGGTCTCCAATTTCACACGTCATTATAAATAAATCTTACCAACATCTGGTTGAGTAAAAGGAGCCAGATACACACAAAGGGACTGTTGAGTATATTCACATCTGTGTAAAGAACCCAAACAATCAAATTGAATCCATGCAAAGCTCTGTTTCTGAATCAGGGTGGTGGTGACACGAGACCGCTCCATTCGTGGAGATTCATCAAGCTGTGCATACGATGTGTGCACTTTTTGTCCGTTGTACTTCAGTAAAAGTAAATACACACGCACCCTGAGACACATCATAGTAAAAGTCCTGAAACACAAAGACGGAATCTCAAAAGCAGTGAAAGAGAAAAGGGTGCTTTACTTTCAAAAGAGCAACAATAGGATTTAGAGTTCATTCACAACAAAATGACCGATGTCACTAGGTATTTATCCAAAGGATACAAACGTAGTGATCCAAAGGGGCACCTGCACCCCAATGTTCATAGCAGCAATGTCCACAATAGGCAAACTATGGAAGGAGCCCAGATGTCCATCTACCGATGAATGGATAAAGAAGATGTGGTCCATATATACAATGGAATATTACACAGCCATACAGAAATGAAATCTTGCCATTTTGCAATGATGTGGATGGAACTAGAGGGTATTTTTTTTTAAGATTTATTTATATATTTTGAGAGAGTGAGAATGAGAGATAGAGAGCATGAGAGGGAAGAGGGCCAGAGGGAGAAGCAGACTCCCCGCCGAGCAGGGAGCCCGATGCGGGACTCGATCCCGGGACTCCAGGATCATGACCTGAGCTGAAGGCAGGCGCTTAACCAACTGAGCCACCCAGGCGCCCGGAACTAGAGGGTATTATACTGAGCGAAATAAGTCAGAGAAAGACAAATACCATATGATTTCATTCATATGTGGAATTTAAGAAAAAAAATGGACGAACATAGGAACAAGGAAGGAAAAATAGAATAAGATAAGAACAGAGATTGAGGCAAAGCATAGAGACTCTTGACAAGAGAGAACAAACAGGGTCACGGGGGGGGAGTGGATGGGGGATGGGGTAACTGGGGGACAGGTATTAAGGAGGACACGTGATGTGATGAGCACTGGGTGTTATATGCAACGGATGAATCACTACATTCTACCTCTGAGACTAATAGTATGCTATGTTAATTCAATTGATTTTAAATTAAAAAAATAAAGTATAAGAAAATAAAACCACAGAAAAAGAAAGAAAGAAAGAAAGGAAGAAAGGAAGGAAGGAAGGAAAAAAAGGAAGGAAGGAAGGAAGGAAGGAAAGAAAGAAAGAAAGAAAGAAA